CACAGGAGGGAGGAACAAACAGAAAAGGGAACTGGAGTAGATCATTTTAATTTCATCTGTAAGAAGGTACAGATATGATTGAGGTGACACTCCATTTGTATTATTAATGAGGAAGACAATTCAAGCAAGAAGCCTGTCATAAACACAACCCTACACCTCAGCACGGCCACTAACAAATTCAGCGTACTCTCCAGTCCATAGAGAGGCCACGCACCTGGAGGTGAAACTCCCACTTTTGTACCGTCAGTGCTAAACTAACTGATCTATTAGCAGTACCAAAGACATCAGTATACTTGGTGTCTGATATACAGTCATCATAGGCATTATCTTGTGACTAAGTGCCGCCAGCGAACGATCCATGCAGCTTCCCTGCTTAGCATTCATTTATCATGACCTAATTTCCTGAATACATTTCAAGCAACTCAATATTTCATAAGAGTTATAAGGAAAATGTGCAACTATTTGGCACTGTGGGTGAGTGATCCGTAGAAAAACAGCAATCCTAGCAAGAATTTCATCACAGCTCTTTCCTGCGACAAATAAAGCGATCTTTTTTGGTTTTGTGATAGTTTCATGTTTATTTTCACATTCATAGATTTTGGTTCACATTGTGATGCAAACAAAATAGGTGTTTAAAAAACAGATTTTTTTGGTAAGTGTTTGCATTTGCATTGTATGTTGGTCACAAATAGAGAACAGCACGGAAGATGGCATGTTGATGATTGTTCTGGGATCAGAAATGACTGGCTATGAGTAGTCACAGTTATTTCCTCCAGACACTCACGAGGTCCACATGCGGACACACAAACACACTCTCTGAGGATTCATTATATCGCTCCTGTGCATACCTCCTCCTGGATGAACATCATACAGCTCAATCCCCACACAACCTGCCCCGGGCCTCCCTGTTGGAGAAACTGGCTCTTATCACAGCTCCCTCCTCCTGCTGCATGTGGCCATGTGTCCCGGAGCATTATCCGTCAGCTGAGACGGCACAATACCCACAGTGCTCCATGGGAGCACCTCTTGCTTGCCCAGTCAGCTGGAGAACGTGCAGCGTCAAGATGACACAGCCATATGTTCATACCCTTCGTTTCCCTGCTCCAGAGAGATTCTCTATCACTTCCTCTGTGGTGTGACTGAGGATTTCTATCACTCCTCCCGTGGTGTGTCTGTGTGATTCATGACATTTTGACACTTCATCAACATAACTGCGGAAGCTGTCAGGTTGGTCCCTGAATCACCTTCACCAATGTGTGTGACCTGATTGATCCACTATTTTATGTGCCTATTGACCAAGTATGCACCATACTCAGGGTAGACAGTTAGCCTCTCTGGCTGCCATTTCACATCAGGATTCATCAGAGCAGAGAAGAAAGGTAGATCACAAATACAGCCATGTCCCATACACACAGGCTGTGCTGACACTTGCAAGACCAAATCACCAGTGATGATACTGGTTTGTCTTTATGCCTGTAAATGTTTCAAAACCAACTGTTCCCACCAGTTTATTGTTTAGGGACATCAACATTTGATTTTGGTTTCAACAATTATATAATAATTTGAAGCTGTGAATGTGTTGATGAGCACACATTAGTGGTGGCCACAATTCCCATAGTGCCTTTGAGCAAGCCAATGTGCTCTTTGGTGGCACACTTAACCAGCACCTGTCCTGTCAACAAAATGTTTATAGGCAAATGTAATAGAACTGCACATGATGATTAGGGATGGGGATCATTCATTTTTATTGATATTGATATCATTATCAACAATACCTAACGATCTGAGTCTTCATTGATACTTTTCTATTATTTGGTGACAGTTATTTGGTAAGACGAGACCCAATGACAGCTGGATTTGGCGGTATTCCAACTCAAACGACCTTCTTGCTGTGAGGCGACAGTGCTAACCACTGCACCACCGTGCCGCCCCTCAATTCTTATCACTAATGATTATTTTCTTAATTAATACTTAATTAATACTTTTTCCAAAGTCCAAAGTGACTTCTGTAAAATTGAGTTTTGTCAGATAAGCAGTCAGAACTTTTTCCAGAATTATTCCATTTCCAGTGATGTTAAAGAATTTTTACTTGAATCAATCAGTTTTCTGGAAAATGTTCCGGCGATTGGCTAATCGATTAACTAATTGTTCCAGATTTTAAAATAGGGCTCCAACTAACAATTATTTTCATTATAGATTAATCTGACAATTATTTTCTCCTTTAAGTGATTAATCATTTTAAACACGAGGTGAGGTGTTCAGATTGCTTGTTTTCAGTCTAAACCCACAGATATTTAGTTAATCAACATGTATGACAAATTAAAACATCAAATTGACACTCAATTGTTTCAGGTCTATACACTGTAGATTAGGCTTCTAAATAGGGCTGAACAATTAAAGAGGTGGTATTATGCTTTTTGGCTTTTCCCCTCTCCTTTATTGAGTTATCTCTTTTTTGTGCATGTAACAGGTTTGCAAAGTGAAAAAGCCCAAAGTCCAGCCCAAAGGGAGTTCCCATCTCCCGCAGAAAGCACTGCTCTGAACCGCTTGAAAACAGCTTCACTTCCTTTACTTGTGACATCACAATGAAAACGTGTCATAAAGCTTGCCAAGCGGCTAGCGGGGTCAGGCACGCCCTCCAAACCAAGCTAGTCTGAGCGGAGGCCTTTTGGCTCGACTCGCCTTTGTTTGGTTTTCCATTGTAGAAATGTTGTACCTGTACCTGCTTCCAGTACTTTTTTTCATATCACCTCACCTCTGTTGAGGTTCCAAGTGAGCTGAGGGATACTAAAATGTAACGTGAAAACACGACAGACTGCTGATAGGTCAGAGAGAATTTACAATATTCACTGCCTCATTGCGTGTCCCAGACAGATGTCAGCAACAGAAAGTTTTATATTTTACAGTTTTCGTATGGAAATTCATCACTAAATCCACTTCTGAGAAGTTTTGAGATGATAAATCAGCTGTGTAGATTTCAAATATTGACCGTTTTAGTGATGGCGGAACAAAAATGTGCTTGAATATTTTCGGACTTGAGGAGCTCCGCAAGTGGCAGCGGGGGATGCCTGTGCCAAGCGTGTGAGGCCGGCCAGCCGCCCGCTCACACAGCCCTCTGCTCCCACCGTCACACAGACCACAGTTGGAAGGTTTTCATAATGCTTATCTGTCTTTACATTCTGAGGAATGTTGAAACGTTTTAACTTAAAAAAGAGAAAGCTGTGTGTGTCGCTGGTGTGTGTGTGTGTCGTATTGAACATTACGACGCGGCAGTTGTGTGTGGCGTCGCTATGATGACAAGCTACATACTATCTCTGGGTACTATCTGCAATAGAAAACGGAGCAGGGCCGAGTAGAATCGAGTGTATCGATTTGCGCTATGGTAGCATTTTTCGGAGAGGCAGCATAGATCGTCAGAACACCGGCAACAATTCAACGTTTAGTCCTAAAAGACGATGCAACTCCGACTCTGTTTGGGCCTGGAAATTCACAATCACAACCTGTAAGTATGCTTTATTAGTTGTGAATTATATTTAAAATAAACATGCCATGGTAACTTGTGACTGGTCAAGTGCGGAGTTGTTGTAAACTTTGGCTAACACAGCTAAAGTTATAGCTATAATGCTAATGTTACAGCAAATGTGAAAGCTACTGAGCAAACGTTCAAATTGTTTGGCCAATTTTTATGTAAAATTGAGTTGAAATAAGATGTGGAACAATGATGTTGTGGACTTGTGAGTAACTTATACCATCTGCTAGGTTACGGTCGCAGTCTGAAGCGGCTTTGATTTGGATCACACTACCTTGTTTCTTACGACCCGCCCTTCTCTGCTTCTGATTGGCTAGTAGTCCTTACCTGGGAACTACGCATGTGCAACTCCCAACAAAGATTTTGTACAAGTAAGATGCATCACTCTGTAGCTCAAGAGCGGAGCGTACAACACATAGGGTGAAAAGAGGAGCTGCAGCAATGTGCAGTATGAGAAAAATATGGTGTTTTTTGAAAATGAAACCATGTAAACCTGTTCTGGTACAACCCCTAAATAAGATTTTGAACCTGAAAATGAGCATAAAATTGCAATATGGCCTACTGCAATTTTCACATTGCAGGAGGCACAATATCATAGACACTTATGGAGCACATATGGGCACATCATATTCTAGAGACTTACAAAAAACATCTTTTGTTGTTCTGTTTTGTTTGCAACAGGTCCTTGCAAGAATCACACCACATCATTTAAATAAGGTTTTCAATATGGGAAAAACTATGTAAAAAAATCATTCTCTCCAATATCGCAAATGATTTTGCAATTGCAATATAAAATATAAATATTGAAAATTGCATATAGATATTTTTTCAAAATCGTTAAGCCCTACTTAGATTTGTCTCTACCATTGCATTGATGGTACTTGTTGATACTATTAGTATTCTTTTTTGTCTCCATTTAATTTTGCTTCCAGTGATTGAATACTCTCAAAACAGAGCAGTACCAGATGATGCGTGAATGCACTTTTAATTCCCCCCCCCCCTGTGTGTACAAACCATGCAGTTTTCTCTTCATACAGTTTATCAATTTACTGCATTGTACATGCCAAATTGAAGCTGTGAATATGAGAATGACCGCCTCTGTTTGTTTGTTTGTTTGTTTGTGTGTTTGTAGAGTTTGTATCCGAAAATTAACTTGCAGCACATTTCTCGTCAGTGGAATAACCTCGGGACAGGAAGTGTTGGGAGAGAGATTAGATTAACTCTCACTAGGATAAATGAAGAGACGGGAAGAGGGAGCAAGATTGTGTTTGAGAGAGAGAGAGAAAGGGAGAAAGGATTTTAACAAGCATAAAAGGCAGGGTGATTTCACACGAGGGAAGTTGAGCGGAGAGTAACAGGAAGTCTTTTCCCTCAAGAGGAACTTGTTACTGTAAAAGCAGCTGACCTTGTGGCTTCTGTCGGGAAGGAATGCATGCAGAGGAGACAGACAGAGAGATAAACAGCAGCTCATACAGTAGAGAGGATCACCCTCCAGTGCACACGAGCTCTCTCTCCCTCTCTCACTTTCTCTCTCACTCGCCCACTTACTCAGTATCGTTTCATCTCTTACTCCCTCCCTCTCCCTCCCTCTCTCTCTCTCTCTCTCACACACACTCTCAGTCGCTGTGCTCTGACGGATGGGGATACACTGCCAAGGAGTTAGGGGCAAGAAGAGTGTGTTTCTTTTCTTCTCTGGCGTGTTTTCTTTCTCTTCCGCCTGGCTTCCCTCATGAGCTGTTGATTCCAGCCCCGGTCCTGAGGATGAGGAGGATCTATTGGTGAAGAAGAGGCAACAAAGGAAGAGGAAACAAGGAGCAACAGGGTGCTAAATTCTGCGAGCGGGAGTGAGCGAGAAGATCCTTTCTTTTTCTCCCGGATCAAGCAAGGTTAGTGAGGAAAGCTGCTTATCGTTAAAACAAACGTCACCTCTTTTATTGATTTATCTCCTTAACTTTACTTTGTTATCTCTAACAAGACATTTCCTATTCAAAGCATTTCATTTGCATGTGCTTTCCATCCCTTAGTGTCTATAAAGGCTCAAATTAAATGTCCTCACAGAGCAGTTTTCTAAATTAAACAGTTTCTCAAAATTAAAAATCCCTCTGTTACATTTCAGAGATAATTCTTTTTCATACAGTAAGTCTCCAGCTTGGTTGCTGAAGTTTCACTCCAGGTCATCACAACTGTGTAATTTCCCAGAGGTACACACTATGGTTCTCAGGTGGGGTCTCTCCTTTGGTGAGGTAGCATCGGGTGAGCAGCAGGAAAAGGCGAGGACAGCTCGCTCTCTTTGGCGCGCCTCAGCCTTCACTTTACACAGGAGCAATTAAGCGGGATTGGCAGCTGACGCTGCCGGTAACTTGGAAACAGGCGTGTAGGAGACGAATGGTGACACATGATAGGATTTAGGGGAGAGAGGAACAGAGGAGGAAGGAGATTCCCTTTGTTCATTCACACAAAAGCCTGCTCCACTGTGAAAAACCCCGCTCTCGCATTGTGCGTCTGTGTGAAAACTGGCCCAGGGGGCAGCAGTTGTGAGCTTTCATGATTTTGTATGACAGTGCAACATTGTTCGAGTGTATGTACTGCAAGCGCACATGCATAGAAAGTGTGTTTATGCATGCACTGGTGTGTATTGGAGGGAGTGAGCTCAAGTGAAAGAAATTATTCACACTTGAAATTAGTCAGACAACAGGAGGATAGGAAAAATTCATAAAAACAGTATGGTCCCCTTTGAACCATTGTGAAATTTCTGTAATGAATGGATGAGCAGTTCTGTAATTTACACAACAAATGAGCTCCCAAAGGATTCTGCCTTTGTTCAGGCTTATTTACAGATTGAAAAATTCTTCTTGAAACTAATAAAAGATCTATTCTGCTCACTATTTGTCACAAAGCCTTCTCGCAGCAATTTTTCAGTGTGGATAAGATACAGTAAGTGGGCCTGGAAACGCTGAGGTTGGCCTCTGGCTCCTGGTAACAAAGGCCTCTGACGCAGGCTGATTAACGGTGAAGTTTTTTAAAGATTCACCGTTGGGTGTGAAGGTTTGATGGGGGCAGAGGCAATTTAATTAAAAATGCATTAAAGAAAAGAACGGGGTAACAGAGAATATCGCGTTCTCATTTTAAACACAGGTGGAGGCAGGTAGGGCAATCATTGTGAACTGTGTGTGTTTTGACACAAAAGGAGAGGTATTGCATAAGTCAGTGACAGTGACAGCGCAGTGACCATCCTTGCTTTGTGTTCAGTCTGGACTGGACATGTTTTTGTCACAGTCACCTGCATGACCGAACATAAGTGAGGTCAGGACAGTTGGGTCGGACCATAAGTCATTAATACGGGACGGTTTACTGTGTCACCTTGTCTCAGGCATGCACACGGCCACAGTAATGCCTCACAGGGACAGTTACTGTGAGTCCATCAGTGGCTCGCTGACTTTCTCTAGTAGAAGGAGGAGTCATTGACATTGAGAGGGAGTCGATGTCTGCTTGGTGCACACATTAACTCGCAAGTACAGTACACACACTCACATTCACCCCAGGCATATGCACAAAGACACACACATACAGCAGGCCTATAGTACACACTCCCACTCCCACCAGGGGAGGCGGAGCAGGGAAATGCGTCGTGACCGGTGGCTTGGCAGAAGCCCTCAAGGTGAAAATTTTGAGTGAGGAGCATTTCAAATTCAGAACAGATGATCAAACTGGTGTCGAAACTGAGTAGCTGGCGGCACCAGATGCAGACAATCTTTTGGCAGAGGAAGAGTTTTTTTGGTGGCTGAATCTCAAACATAAAAGTCAGAGGCGCGGAGCTGAAATGAACACAACTCTGGTATCGTCATCTCACGGATGGTGGTTCTTATCACAGTCCAGATGGGGCAAAAAAAACTTTCAGCTATACATTTTCTGCTCATCTATCATCACTGCACACCAAATCCAGCCATATATCTAGACGTATCAGAGTGCAGACAGAGTAGGTTATTTAGAAGTGAATAAACTGAAACTGGTGAGATTAAAATGTGTCCCAAGTTTATTAGAAGACAATATTTGACAGGAAATTCAACAGCTGTCAGCCAAATAACTGTGTATTCGCAAATTGCTCCAATGTCAAAGACAATAGCCATGTTTCCATCTGATTGTCAAGCGAATTTTAAGCAAACTTGAAAAGTCGCAAAAAAGAAAAAAAAAAGAAAAGGCGATTTAGGTATGTTTCCATCAACTGGTTTGGAGTGAATAAACCAGGCTAGGCAAAGCGTAGTTACGTCAGTACTCTTTTTAGAAAAAACAAAAACCACCTCAAGCTAGCATCAAAACTGTTCTGTGAAACTGAGGATGTTTTGTCGAATTTTGCCGTTTCCATCAGCCTTTTCTGAAGTGATCCTTCAAAATGCGCATAAAAACACGTTGATGGAAACACCACTAATGAACGGAGCACAGCCACATGTAAGCCATAGGAAAAGACAGTCTGCGCTCCTTTTTCACTGCTCTTTTGTGACAAAAATTAACATTAGTGCTGCCACAAATTATCATTTCATTAACCGTTTGATTCTTTTTTCGATTCTTTTTTCGAGTAATCAAAAAAATTATAATAAATAATAAAATAATATCAAAAATACCACACAAATAATCTTTGTGTGTGTGTGTGCAGGTGTTTTTATTATGAACCATTCCAGACTCGCACAGGCGGGGCTTATGCTGCTCCGCTCTGCAGCAGCAAGGACGATTAATCAATTGTTGATGATTAATTCACTCACAGTCGACTAATCGAGGAATCAACGTTCAGCACGAATTATCATATGGCTTGAATCCCACACATTTATCTGCATTTATCTTTATTTATATATGTGACTAACGATCTTACCATGATATGAGCACAGAGTTTTCTTCCATTAGGAGTCTGACTGCAGACCACTAAACTCGGACCACCTAGTACAGGTGAACTTGAGTACAGTGTTTTGTTTTGGACCTGAGTACATCAATCAAGTGTTTATCGGGGATTATTATACTTATTATCCATAGATGTACTTTGAAATAGAGATCAGAGATGCTCACACGTAAAGTCTCATGTCACTCGTGGTTATAATGAATGTTGTATCACCTGCTACGTTCAATCCAGGCTGCTTATAAAACTGCATAGCTATTAAGGATTGTGTAACTGTACTTACAGAGCACACACATATAATGTGCAATGCATTAATGCATTAATGACAGCTCATAAACTACTGTAAGTCAACACATTCCCCAGACTCTCAAACCCAGTGTAACGTTAACTAAATGAAACTATAATGTTACATGATCAACACTAAACCTGTAACCTGTTTTTCACAGAGCACAACCATGTAGCCTAATATACATTGCGTCTACAACTAATGACAGCTTATAAACTAATGTAAGTCAACACATCCCCCAGATTCTCAAACCAGTGTAACATTAACTAAATGAAACTGTAACGTTACATGATCAACAATAAACCTGTAACCTGTTTGCAGCCACCGTTAATAATTAAAGTGATGGCAGCCAGCCGGACGTAAATGATTACGTTAATCGACCACCACAAGTTTGACAAGCAAACAAACGCTTATTCATCTTTTTATAACGAATGACAGTTATGAGAGTTAACCTCCGGCAGGTCGTAGCTAAGCTAAAGCAAGAAGGCACAGAAGCTGCCCGGTGTTTGTTGTCCTCTCTTACGTGTGGCCGTATGCAACTGATACTACATCGGCAGGTTATAGGTAATGGATGGAGGGCTCATCAGACAATTCCAAAAAATAAACATTAACATTGCATTGCATTCAAGCATTGGAACCCCTCAACCCACCCCCACCCGAACTGTTCCGAACTGAGTGTATAGGCTAACTGATTAATAACATCAACAGCAGCAATGGTAGCCAAATAATTACATTCTCCCACCCTAAATTAACAGCAGCATGTAGTCACCTAGTGTACGCAGAAGTGTCTTGTTTTCCGATCTGCAATGCAGAAAATTTGCATTAATTTGGTTTATCTGGTCTGTCGTCGTGACAGCTCTCTGTCCAGGGTTCACACCAAGTTCCACTGCCCTGGGCTTGGTTCTGTGTGTGTGTGAGGGTGTACAGTTTGTGGTTTTTTTTAGAGAGAGGCAAAGTTTGAAAGAGAGCAGGAGCATGTACAGTACGCACGTGTGTGTGTTTACAGCTGTGTGGGTGAGAATATGTGTGTGTGTATTTCTATATGTGCGTGAGCAAGTGAGGGAGAGAAAGAGAGAGATAGGCTGGCAGAAACAGAAGCAGGTTCCTTGATGAAGCTTTGACGGTTGCCTTTGATGCCGGCTTCCCCTTCTGTATGAGATTTCACTGAACAGATGATAATCTAGCAGAGGCCTGTAGAACGAATCACACTCTCTCACACACACACACACACACACACACACACACACACAATTGTCTCTGTAAGGGCTCTCTCTCTCTCCATGCAGTCCCTGTGTACTTCAATGCTGTAACCATTAGATGCCAGAGGCAGAAAGCCAGCTAGCACTTTGTCCCATTATACCGTCATGCTAATATCAGTAGCCACCACACTCCACTTGGTAACTCCTGACCCCTTTGGACGTACTGTAACACTTGTGTTCTCAACAGCCACACAAGTCAAAACATAAACATGACTGCACATTTAACTCTGCTTATCTGCACCTGATATAGCCCATTAAATGTTTTTATTGTATATACATCTTCACCTTACACCTCAATGTATATATGTACATTGCTTTGAGCTTTGTTGCAGTGTTTTTTTGGAGGGGTGGGTAGGGAGGTGGGGGTGGGTCTTGGCATCAGGAAGGCATTTCCTACCTTTGTGCAGTTACTGAAGGGAGAGGCTGAAGGAATAATCAAAGAATGAACAAGCTGTT